ACGGGAGGATAAATTTAAAAGGAGTAAATTGGAAAATCAAATGAGGGCTTTAGGCAGCCGCAGAGATTTGCAGAGCTGTCGGCCAGCGTCGGAGAGCCTCATCCATCATGTCCCACAAGTAGTCAATTCCTCTAGTATCTGTAAATGTTTTCAGATATTAGCCAATTTATATGCTCCGAGATTCATCATGGAAAATCAGCTTTAGCGGCGCACATTATCAGGACCTGTCTCTCCCTTGCTCCATGAAGTTTGATGAACGAGTGCCCCTCCACAGCTCAATGGCTTGTGCATAGGGAGTGTGGGTGGAAGGGGGGCATAGAGAGGAAATGGGTAAGCACCACCCCACCCGTAGAAAAAAAAGTGGGTTTTTTAATTAATAAACAAACTTGCAGAGGAGCTCATCAGTGTCAGGGGCAATAACTATCGTCATCCGTTACTGTTTATTACGGCCCTCCCTCAACAAATGTTGCTATCTAATGAGGTTTCTCGACATTTTTTTGTGTTTGAGATAATGACTTTTTCACCCTAGTGGAGAGAGGAAGAGTAGTTACAAATGATGAAGTATGAGCAATGAGAAATCAAGCCAAGGTTATGTTGCTGTTACCTTGCTTTATATAGTTTATCTTGTTTTGGAATTGCATATGAAAACAAGCTCGTGATTTGTTTACACTGGTTGTTTTCTTTAGCAAATCCCAATGGAGGCGTAGCGTTACACATCTATTATTCTCCTCTTCTCGGTTTGTTTTTTTCTCTTTTCTTTTCAGATGTTGACGATCTGATACGGTACCTTAGTCAGGATTTATACCAACATGGGACAATTACAGTAAATTTTGCGAATGTTTACAAGGTGCAAAGTCGTGCTGCAGGGCTTTGTTCTCCGTGTCTGCTGTTCTTCAGATTATGCTTTTTTATTTTTCTGCACGTGTTTTATGTGTGCGTGTCTGCGTGTCCCTTTTGAGTGTGTATTTAAAGAGCCTGCTGTATGTGTGTGTGGCAGAGAGGAGCTCAGGGTGTCATAGAGGAGTCTTGCCTTGCAAGGCGGGGATGTCTTTAATAAATGTATGCTGATGTTGGAGGCTGCAACGATGCGAGGGATGCTAGGACCCTGTTGTTATTTACTGCTGTGTTTGTGCACAGCAGCGAATCCTGGGCCTGCAAATGGCATTACGGCCTGTGATGAATGAGCATTAGGGTAAACTCATTTTAAAAGCATCCTGATTTATTAGCGGCCTGGCCTTCCATTTTCATCAGGTCAATGCTTGGCTGAAATTCTACAATGTCAGCGCCAAGGTCACCTTTTTATGGCTATTTTTAACCCCATCGCACAGAAAGAGCAGGAGAAAGGGATCCTGTCACTTGTTATGGCCGCCCACCAAAAAAAACAAGGGGTTGGAGAGAGAGGGAGAGAGGGAGAAAGAAAGAGAGAGAGAAGTCTAGTGTGTGTTTGTGTGTGTTTTTTTCTGCGTGAGACCAAAATGTGTTGGTGGTCAACCTTCAATTATGAGCACTAGTAAGACAAGAGCTTTAATGGCTGCCGTTTGCCTTCAGGGAGGTTTATTACACACCACAGTTTTGCAGAAGCAGCGTCAAATCTATAAAGCGACCATTAGGAAGAGGGAAAAAATCAATCAAAATGCCATTAAAGTGGAATAAGTTGCCAATATTGCTGATGTGGTTGCAGGTCCTTTGATTTTCCTTCAGATTATTAGGCACAGTCGAGTAGTGACTTTGTTAAGGGAAACCAGTGTTGTTGGGGAGTAATATGTCTCCTGGCTTCATAAAGTTTGCTGCCTCATATTTCCCGCTTTATTGATTATCCATTATCATTTGTCATGAGGTGTCCTAACTCAAGGGGAAAATATAACCCTCTTTCTTCACCGCCGCCTGAACTGCACAGGAGCACGGTATGGATCTGCGTGTGAAGGTACCAATCTCCGAGAAAAATGAGCAAAGAAATAAAGCACAGCCCTGTGCCTTGCAGCTCTAAGAAGGAGCGCGGGGTTATGGGATGGGCTGGGGGAGTACGCCGTCGCTGGGAGAGGTTGAAATGGAGAGGAGGTGGCAGAGAAAGATGGAGACAAAGAAGAAGAAACGGAAAGAGAGGAGGGAGTGCTGAATGTGCTTTGTTCTTCTTCCACCCTCCTTTATTTCATCATAAGGTAGATGAGGGATCACAGTTCTGTTTGTCCTCCATGGTATTCAGAAGGAATAATTCCTATGAAATAGATGCAAAGGGAGAAGACAGGATAGAAAATAAGGGTCTTAAGGTTTTTTTTTCTTTTAAATGTTCTTTTAAATGCCTTTCTATTAATGATACGCCTAATGATCCAGTCAGCATTTGTAAATGTACACCCAAGTCTTTTCCTATCCATCCTTTTTTTATTTAAGTCACTTTATTAGCCATTTTGATAAATCTTCAAATAAACCTGTCTTGTGTTTAACAGTTATGCTATGCACTGTTTTCTGTGTGCAGTGTTGGCACAGGCACCATCCATGCCTGAAATGTGAATAGAAACATTCCTTGTATTGTCTGTATTGCTGCAAGTCTGTCAGGACCACGTGTGTATATATATCACTAAAATGGCGTGCCTCAACCATTTCGTCACACAATGATACAATCCATTTAATCCCGATCTTTTTAAGAAATGATTTAAGGAATTTTTTTTTGCTGTTGCAGTACCAGCGAATCAATCCAGCGGGCTTCCCTCTCTGATTTATAATGTTAGTAGAGCAAGAATGGGGATGAGAGATGCAGAATAGTCGGCATTCATAACATAGATAAACTACATGGGGCTCCTGTGCTCTGAACTGAAACATTTATATATAGAAAATCTGTATAGACACCAAGCAGCCATCTAATGGGCTAGAGTGAAAATACTGCATTAGCAGTTGCATAGTGAATTACAGTGGGCCAAGCCTGTCTTTTGTCTCCATAATTTAATAGTTTGCTTTTGCAGGAATTAGTTATTTTTTTCTTTTATGTTTGTAAGACACGAGACGACAAGACAAACGCTAATGTTTGATGGCATTTGCATAATAATATTTGTGATTTTTATATTTTGGTCCCATTCTCTCTTGTTCTCAGCTTCTAAAACGGTCCTCAGCAGTATGCTTAAGGAGCCATCGTTAATCCCAGACCAAGTTTTGGCCAAGAACATCTACCAAGTAAGTGTTTTAAATTTAAGCAAAATATTATAGGAAATCATTTTAATGGTTTGCTTTAATTACCTGTTTGTCGCCCTTCACTTTTCCTTGTTACAAATCTACTGCTTATGTACAGTGAGGTTTTAAACGTCGTAACTGGCTGACAGGCGGCTTCAGCCGCTCATGTTTGCTGATGAGGTCACGTGAGAGCCGGCGGTCATGCCTGCCAATCTGCCAGCATCTCCTGTGTTTTCTCCTCTCCCGGAGCGCACTGTACGGGGCTCCCTTCCCTCGCCTCCCTCCCTCTCACCCACCCTTTTTGCACGCCATAATATTTCTTCCCCCTCTTTTCAGTGCACAATAAATGACTGCTGTTATGGACCGCTGGTAGACTGCATCAAACAGTATCCTATCCCATAAAATTTTAAGCCTGAAATTGACGAGGAGCTATTGAAGGGGATGAGATGTGTCTGGCTTCACCTGACATAAAAGTTCTGCTTCACAGGGGAAGTGTTTCATTCTGCCTGCCATCCCGCTATCACCGATACAGGGGCTGGAAGGTGATGGAGGAAAGAGGAGGAGGATAGATGGATCTAAATGCATCTCCATGTGCACGCAGTGGATCAGACCCAATGTTCTATGATACAAGAAAAAAAATTAGCATTCATAAGCCTCATGGTGTGTTTTTTGTTTGATATTTTATTTAACCCAGAACATTTGTTATTTTTTGAGGATTCTCATTCCAGTGCCACGGACAGTTTTGGGCAACTTAAAATTTTGATGGCATATTGTTTTTAAAAAAAAAAATGTTTTTAATTAAATTGTACTCCTTATATTTCTAGTGTTTCCTCTACCTTTCCACCGCCTACGCTTTGACAATAGGAGCAAAATTGGAGTCCAGGCTGGGTAAGGGGAAGCAGCTGTGTAGCAGACCAACTATTTCCAGTGGGAGGAGACTTATTTGAATGAGTGTGCTTGTGTAAGTCTGTGTGGTATCATGTCTTTCCAGGCTTTGGTGTGTGGGGCTGGGTTGTTCTGTTCATAGTCACTGAGCCCTGTCCCATCCTGCCCTCCTTCTACATCCCCTTCTTACCTTTTTATTGTCAGCTCTTTTAGTCAGTGACTCTCACACAGAGTTCATCACTGCCCTACTACTATGTGCTTTCAAAGAGCTCATCCACACATGAGGAGGATAGTTCTTAAGTTTAGTTCTTTCTTTTTTAAGTGATTAGTGTATGTTGAGGGATCAATACCCTAAGTACTTTTCTTTCTATCTCTTGGAGAAGGCAAGTTATGCAAATATATCTGGCCTTACTGTGGAATCAGGCATCTTGCATACTGATGAAAAATGGCATTTATTCTAAAAGCATTTTTTTCTCAAAGATTCTAGAGGAGTGAGTGGAGCAGCAATAGTCCAGGCGCTCTGTGCATTTTGCCAAATTGGCATGTGTTTCGTTTTCCTCATTTTCCTAATGCACTTTGGAGATTCATTGTGAAAGCGGATTAAGGTTGACCTGAAGACTTTATACATCGGCATGAAGAGAAATGGCTCTCACTTTGCATAGTAAAGAGAAAAAGCCGATTCTTAATTTGGACAATTGAGGAGAAAAACTTTCCCCAAAGAATCAATTCTTTAAAACACTAAGAAATCAGTTCCTTGAAGTTTTATTTGCTTTAAAACATGATACACATCTGCTAGTGCAGTTTTGCTGTTATGATACCTGTCACAATGAACTTGTTTCAAAAGCTTTATAAAATCAACTTTTTCATAATTGTTTTGCAGCCAAATGCCTTATTTTGTTTTAAGACATGCACACTGTTGTTTTAAATTTTTTTTAAAAATGGTTGAATTATTCTACAATGCAGCCCTATAATAATTATCTGTTACTGAGGAGGTACCTTTATTTCTGTAAAGATCTGAGCATTTCTATGGTTCAATACAAAATGCGGCTTTTTCTGTATGTTGGAATCCTTGACTCTCTATTCTCAGCGCCATTGGCCAAGAACATGAGGTGCTGCTGCGGGACAAACTCAAGGAGAGAAACCTTTCCTTTCTGGGTAAGCTAACCTTTGACCTCCTTATCATCCCCTGTTTCAGGTCACTTTGGTTGTGTCTGTGTTGCCTTTTGTGTAAGCTTAGTAAAAGAAGACCTGGACATGAATGATGCAGAGGATGTTATCTCCTATTGATTTGAATACAGAAGCTGTTATCAAATATGCACCAGGCTACAATAAATATTAAAAGAATAAAGGTAGCTCTTAATGTTTCACTAGTTTACATAGTTGGTCCTCATGTTACTGTTAAGCACTTAATACTTTTTCAAAAGCGGATGATATAGACTCTTTTCCACTTATGTAATGCTATTAAGGGGGATTACTCACTGCAATGGGTGTTGTGAGGGATCAAACGTCTGGATGCAAAGAATCTTATTATAACAGGGTTGTGGTTTCTAACATTTCAACCAGTTATATTTTTGTGATAATTTCCTTGATATACTTTCCTTCCAACATTATCTTCTTCCAATAATATTAAATCAGCCCCCCTCCCCCAGCTAGCCCATCATCACCATCCCCTAGGTCAGATGACTGATGAAGGATAAAAGTCATTCCCTCTGTCATTAGGACCATATCATTTATTTGGACCTGGAGTGCTGACCTTTCTCCAGGGCTGTACAGAGGACTGTTCTAAAACTGTCAGAGTTCGGGGGGCACGAGGGCCACGGAGGCAGCCTCACCCCATCTGATAAATGGATTGGAAATAAGCTACCCAACAGCAGGGATGGCCCATTAATTTTAATCAAAGGTGATGTAAAAAGGCGATCAGAGCCACATGACAATGTCAACAGCCCAGTAGGAGTGAATAGAGGTCCCCATCCTATCACACACACACACAGACATATATTACCCCACCCAGGATGCCCCACTGCAGGCCTCTGGCAGCCTTCCTGACCTCACTCGGCTCTCTTTCTCCATCCTTGGCTGATGCTACCTCCTCACCCACCACTGACACCGCCACCCTCCATCTCTCCTCAATTCCCTTCCATGCCCCATTAGTTGGGCTTGGCTGGAGACAAAGAGGCAGGCCTTTTGGAACCGAATGACCTGGTCAGCCTGAGATTTAATGGAGAAATCAGGTGTTGTAGGGATAATGGCCGAAGCACGCCAGAAGTCAAGGACAGTGGTTGCAGCGTTTGCAGGCAGGGGTCAGGCTTCCAGAGGCTATAATGCCAACCTTGTCCTCCTGCTATATATTTTATAAAGCCCTGCCAAACTGCAAAACTGGAAAGCAACACTATAACTGGGCTTTAATGTGTTTTTGTGCAATGAAAGCGAATATGTGGCAGATGTAGTTAATGGTCTTACCGTGCTTCCTGTCCTCCACTGTTATTTTGTCTGCTTTGCTCACAATGAGGGGTTTTGTTACCGGCAACTTGCTGAATGCGGTTAGGTCAGTAGCCTGTGATCGATGATCTGATTACTCAATGGAGCTTGTTCAGTGAAGAGTAAAACTTATTTCACACAGTCTAATGTTAAAATTCAGCTCTTTATTTCCTGTAGATGAAAACCAACTGAGAGCTATGGGCTATGACAAAACACCTGATATCATCCTTGAGGTTCCAATCGGTCAGTATTTACATTATAAATGTCATTATTACAACTTGGGTGTTTAACCTCAAAAGCATTATGCAATTGTCAAAAAAAAAAAATCATTTTAATGCGAGATGTTCTTTCATTTTGGGAATCATAGGGGAAAAAAATTACAAAATGTCATTGCCACATCTGGATCTTGCTTGTGTGGTGTTCTTGTCACCCAATGTCTGAGCTTTTTCGTGTGTTTTTATTTATGAAAAGCTGTGGAAGGACACATTGTACACTGGATTGAGAGCAAAGCCTCATTTGGGGACGACTACAGTCATCGCACCTATCTCAACGAGCAGTTCTGGAGCTACTGGAACAGGTGAGTCATCTTTCTTATTCTCACCTCTTTGTATTTTTTCCTTCCCGTTTTCTGAATCAACCACAGAATTTTGATACTACAATTTTCACAGCCTGCATATTGTTTATAACTTCTCCCTTTTTGACCACAAACCAACAATCCGCTTTATAAATGCAACTCATATCTCAGTCTTACAACACTAACCACTTCCTCTTTGGCATAGTCCACACTAACCCTACGCTTTTCTATAGTACATGTGGCACATCACACTACTTCCACATCCAGCCCTCCATTGAAGCTTTTACAGCCTGAATGGTCTGCCTGGGAGCCTGATTGTTTTTCAGAGTACACATATTGTTTTCAAAGGAAAGCTGGGAAATGGGTGATTAATCCATTGCATCTGTTGTCATGAGAATGTCTGGACAGGAACGGCCCTTGTGGTCTGACCCCGGGGCAACAGACGTGTATGTGCGTGTGGATATAAATGTGTGTTTCTTAGATCTAGAATAAAACAGCAGTACAACATATAGACTTATTTCATGGTCTCTGGAGAAAAGATACTTGCGTGGGTGTTATTAGCTTATGCATCTTTTCCTATAGATGTGCTAGTTTAGTTTAAAGGCTGCAAATGTCATATAACGTACCAACCAATTAATAAATTAGGTCATAGGTCACCCATTCACTATTTAATCTTAGTAAAGAATATTGTCTATGAGCACGTCATACAAAGTATCTTCAGCCATTATCCAAATAATTTAAGCTTCATTTTAAACTGAATTGTGGTGGTGTGACTTTTGTGTCAGGGAGCACACAGTGAGAAGAGTAGGGGTCAGTCACACATGCTCTTCATATTTCTTGCCTCCCGTGGCACAAGGTTTCAGTCGCCAAATTCGAAAAGTCGCCCCCACAGCGTTCATTCACCTCACTATGGCCCAGGCTCCCGTCAGCCATGACGGCCAGCTGACATGTTGTGACATGGCACTATAGCGCCAGGAGGTTTCAGACCCTGGGCACAGCTAGACTCTCTCATTCTGTCTCGTTTTTGTTTCCTTGGATCAGATTTCTCAATCTATCAAGACCACAACACAGAAAAAGAAACTGTTTGCCATGAATGAATTGTCATGGTGTGGTTTTGTATGCATTCATCCCCAACCCCAAATAATCCCTTGATTTCCTGCCCATCACTGATAAAATAGTGAAAGATTTATGTATTCCAGGTTTTATCCAGATACAGATCACCTTTTTTCATTTTCATTGAAGATTGATTGTGCTCTTTTATGCTCTTGTAATTTTAGCCTATACAAACAGGCCCAGGACAAATGTGAGTCCCACATAGATAAAGGTACAAAAATCTAATTTATCATGAACATGTGGTATTTAAATTTAATAAAATTGTAGTAATGTAGGACAGTATGAATACAGTGTCTGGCTGAGTGTAGTTTAATGCATGCCAAAACCAAAATCAATAATCACTATACCTACTGGCCACAAGAAAGCAAGTAAAGTTAGAAACTCTAACTTTATAGTTGTGAAGGACTATTTTACAAATGATGGACAAACAGATAGCTAAAACAACAAGGAAATAAACATTATGTTCATAAAACGATATCCCTGACTATAGAAGACTGACCTCTTGGTTTCACCCAGAAGCTGCCGGCAGAACAATTATTTGATTTTCAGGGACGATGAGTCATCTAATTTCACTGAATAGTTAAAATGCGAAGGATGAGGTCAAGGTCATAATCAATGATGCATTTTATTTTCTCTGGTTTGATTTACAAATGGCCTGCTCCCAGAAGAAAGGCACTCTGTTTTTTTCATGTATTTTCTATTATTGCCATCAGGAAGAGGTGTGAATATGAAAATATATTTTTAGGACTCATTATATGCCTGAAAAGTGTGTGAATGAAAAAAAGGCTTTGTTTATGTCCCAAAGTAGTCCTAGACCATGGTTGCTGAAAAAATACTTTTGCATTACTGCATGCCATGAAAATAAGATGTTTCCCTAAATATTTGACTGTATAAGTTAAAATGCTTTACTTGTTTAAAGTGCAGAAAATGACATTTATCTGTCTTCAGGCTTCCTCTTGTTCCTCGTGGCTTTAGTTTACAGTAGGTCAAACTATCAGAACACTAACAGCTTGATTGGACGGGTAGGATTACGCCGAGCTTTATATATTTGCTCATGGGTGTCTTTCATTGATATTCACTGGGGCAAGCTTGTCCGAGTGCATTAAGGAACTGTCAAAGTAGATCCCATCATGTCAGCTGGCAGCTCGGTCAGATAAACATTGTCGTGTCAAAAAATGAAAAGAAAAAATGTCAGTCCCTTCAGACCCTACCTTTTCCTGCACCCTTGTAATTTTTAATTGACATTTACTGCTGACATTTCCAAATTTGCTCCGTCTTTCTTATTGTTAGAGCTAATGCCTTGTCTTGTTTGTGTGTGTCTGTGTGTGTGTGTGTGTGTGTGTGTGTGTGTGTGTGTGTGTGTGTGTGTGTGTGTGTGTGTGTGTGTGTGCGCGCACACATAAGAGAAGGCAGTGGTTTTTGGGGTTACCACTTTTGTGGTCCCAAAAACATAAACCAGTGAAGAAACAGGGGACAAGAGAGTGATGGGGTGACCTCATCCTGCTTTCACTTCTCATTAGTTGGTTTGAAATTATGACGCAGGGCCTGAAGGGCTGTTGTTTAGGCTGTTAGTCCATTCCTCTAACTCAGATTTCACTGCTTGACTCTAAACCTTTCAGTTTTCTTCTTGACCGGCCTTGGAATTGCACAGCAGTGTTTGTAATTACTCCACTTCCCACTGATTGACATTTCCAGTGATTTGCTTATTTTTTCATGAATTCCCCCTTTGCTTTAACTGAACTGCTTCACCCATTGCTTGTGTTAATTGTTCCTTCTTTGCCCTAAAGCATCACAGAGTGAGCTACGGGGACATGTTTTTGTACACGTAAAAAAAAAACATAACTAATTTTCTCTCCAAAGCTCTCATCAACAGCATTCATCATCTAAACAATAGTCTTGCCAACACACTAACCCCATAATGAACCCCTCTTGAGTGGAGTGAGGGGTAATGACGCTTCACCTACAATGCTCTCAAGGAAAAAGAGGGGAAAGAAAGGAGAGAAAAACGGTTGTCTGCAGAATCAAACGCCGCGTTCAGGCCCAGTGCCTGGATGAGATGGCGAAGCAGCAGCTCTGGGTGTCTTCCAGCCATCAATCTTAGCTGATGGCATTCCAGAGCCAGCAAGCCCTCTGCTCTGACGGATGTTCAGATAATTGAGTTATCCATCTTGCCCAACTATCAGAGTTGCATAAAAATTATTCACCTGCTGGTGAATATTAAACACATAATGAGCCTCTTGTGTGTTTTAGGAGAAGTGGGTAAGGTTAAACACAGCATGTAATGAAATATGGACCCTTGCATGGTACCAACTTAACTGCCCCCTCTTGATTATGGTGTACTTAAATCAATTATGGTTGGCAAAGTCCCCTCCATAACTCTCCTGGTGTCTTACAAGCTGAAGTTCTACCTAGTATTTGTCTCATTTGTTTAACCTGTGACCCAAGAATATACTCACAAGGACAACTGTATGGTGACTTCCTATCATATCTGTGCACCTAAGTAAAAGATTTGCAGAACTTCTGTAGAAATAGAGATTTGGGTATTTGTTGTCAATATGAGATGTATAAGGACAAAAGACCTCAGCGAAATGTCACTACTCGATCAATGGATAAATAGATTGATTTATGGATATCACAATTTGTTGAAGAAATACTGCGAAAGTATTAACACCACAGCCTTTGTCCCTTTCATAGTGTAGGAAAAAAACTGCACTACTCAGATAGTGTAAAATGTTGGTACAAGCGTTGCAATTAACAATTTTACAATCAGCTCTTAATAATAATAGGAGTAGCTTCTAATGTGAAGCTGTCAACACTTTTGTCCCTTGCAAACAGCAGGTCCATCTTTCACAAGCGTCTAACACCACATTTTTGCCAATACAGACATTTATATGATTTGATGTCACATCTAATCTTTTTCTTTGCTCTTTTCTTATTATGCAAATATTAGAAAGAGGTGTCAAGGTAGCCATGGCAACACATGAACTTAAGGCAAATATGTATTCAAAGGTTCTTCTTAAATTGAAGTAATGCTCATCTTCCTGTTTGTCTAGTCTTCATTTCAAACTTTCATAGCATCTCTTCTCTAAAACATTTTTAATTTGTTAATTATGAGGAGTCTATGTGGCCCATAATTGCCCTCCATGCTGCCACTGTGTATCATAAATTAATCAATAGTGTAAATCAGAATATACAATTTAATTTCAAAATATTTTTCAGCAACAAAGATACCTCACATCATACTACGGCAAATCAAAACATGAAATGTTCAGTCAAATAAGAAGATTCACAGTCAGTTCTCTTTACTGTTCCCTATTCTTCCTTCCCCCATTCCACGTAGCCCAACACAATGGACAGCCTCTGTGGAAATGAGCATGAACGCCACCGTGCCCCCTCCCAAACCAAATCAGCTGTGAGATTCGTAAACTGCAAATGTGTCAGAGTTGAAAATGTTAGCACTCTTAATGGAGGCTTGAAAAGGTTAGATCTGATAAAAAGCTGTCAGCCGTCCACGAAAAATGATTTATAGCAATATAATGGGACAGTATGCCTCATTTCTTCCTCATTTGAAATGGGGGGTTAAGACTTTTGGGTTTGCCATTATACATCATCTGGCTTGACCACTTGGAAATTTGTTGAGACTTGAATGCACGCACAGGCATTATTTTTCATCGCGCTCTTGTTTTAGCAATTGATGTAGTTGATTTATGTCCTCCCATAATAACTAGCAGAGGATTCTCAGGCTCCAAAAAACGCATATTGATCTCCATTCAAATCCGTGGCAGTGATATTAGTGCTTGTCCTTTCTTTAAACACTTTTTTTGACAAACATAATGGAAGCAAAACTACAATTAATGAGGAACTCATTCTGAAGACTCGCCCGACTGTTCCTACAACATCACTAATCTGCTCGCTGACACGTCGGCTAATGAATAGACAGAAATCTGATTTATGTGATGTTTTATGTTCATTGACACAGCTGCAATTAGACATCTTGAGTTCTTTGTGAACTTTTTCCAATTATATCTGGGACTGTATGCTGTGGATTTTGCAGCTGAGATTGCACAGTAATTCTGTTTTAACCTCAGAACCATCAATCCATTTGTGCGACATCAAATTAATTTTTGATTCAAGATATTTTTATTGTACATTTACAAATGGACATATCCATCATTTTTGTTCAACTTTCCAGAGAAATGACAGCAGGAATGCTTAATTAGTAAAGTGTAATGACAAGATGTGTTTTAGGCAACCCTTATTATATCCATCTGGATATTTCTTCATTTTTTAAAAAAGGTTTTCAGTCCTTAGATCAGATCAGATACTTAGATATGCAAGTATTTTGGTTTCATGACTTGTTAAATAGAAATCAGGCATTTGTTCATATGTAGAAATATACAATAGTTCATCCTTTGTAAATAGCCAGGAATTGTAATGCAGTTGTAGCATGTAAAAGGCCTCAGCAGCGGGGCCATCATAGAGCAGGTTAAGATAGGGTATGTCACCTGAGAGAGGGCGCCCACAGGCCGTGCCTGCTGCTGATCCAATGAGGCCGGACATTACAGGGCTGTCCCCGAGGACAGGTGCTGGCGATTCTAGGGTGACAATGTGACACCTCCAAGACCTGTGCCCTGCCACACTTCACCTTCCTGTCAAAGATGTGCAACACAAAGAACAATGCAAAATTCAATTGCAATAGCCAAATACAATGACACTCAGTGGAGCAGCCTCCACCAAGGTCTAACAGTCCTTAAATCCAATCCACCTGCATGAAATGACACACACACACCAGTCATGTATTATCAGTTCCCTAAATATGCATGATTTTATAATAACGGTTAACTTCCTTGGCAGAGGTAATAATATTCTCTTTTCATGATGGATTCTTGCTGCATATTTGCTTTTCTACTGTGATGTTGATTGATTTGGCTTTTCAGTGTTACAAGGTTTTAAGGTTGTGGGGTTTTTATGTGTTTAATATGCATGGAAGATTTTAGTTGGAGCTTAATTTCCTGTTATATGGATACCCCTTGCAGTGCAGGAACATGTGCCACGTTTTAAGGAGCGGGTGGACCCAAAAATACAGAAGCAAAAACTTAACAAAACGTTTCCTTTTATTAGGCAATGTCCATAAACACAAAAAGTACAGGAAACCAAGAAGTAGGGCTGACAAAAAAATCCTCAAACAGAAAAGCTCTAAGAAAACTAGAAAAAGAACTCAACTGAAAAATAAAGAAAACACTAGGAACTCACAAGTGAAGGAGAGAGGGTGATGACGTGAGGCAGCATGAAGAAGACCACGAATAACAACCATGAAATGACGACGGGGTGGTGAGACAACCACATAAGAAGAAAACGAACCAACCAGGACAAAGGGACACACAGAGACTTATATACACACTGGACTGATGACAAACTAGAGACAGGTGGGACAGGACAAACAGGTGAAACTAATCAAGGCAGGAAGTCAAGGTGGAAAACACACAAGGAGCAGACACTACAAAATAAAACAGGAAACAGAGTGAACAGAATGAATTACAGAGTGGAACCAAGGGAACACAGGTAAAGGTCGAAATACAAACACAATACAAATAAAGGGTTAGATATGATACACAAGGAGTCCAAAAAAAATGAAAACACTCTTCATTACAGAGGCAAAACGTCCAAAACTAAAGAGTCATAAAAGTTCCTAATGAAAACTTACAATACTCGTCATTACAGAGTTAAAGTCCAGAGTCATGACAACGTGGCCTCTTGTATTGTTTCCTTTGTTATGACATCCTCTCTTAGAATATTCCACAGCCAGAAAAAATAGCCATCCACAATGGTGGTTCCTTCAGGGCCTTGAGAGTGTTTGTTTTTGGGCACATCAGCACATAGAAGTGCAATGCTGGCCCCCAAAGCACAAGCAACTTGGAATATTAATGGTAAATGACAAGCCGGCGCTGATGCTTCAAGGATTTCATGCTTTTAAGGATGCACATTTGGGTGCATTGTTTAAGGCGTCTGGAGTGTAATCCGCACTCTCAGGTCTCCTGCAGCCTCAGGATTTAGCTCTGGTTAAGCCTCTATGTCTGCTATTTATTATAGGTTTGTATTTGTGCATTATCCAAATTTGTCATTTACCACTGAGTGTGAGAGCAGCTTTGACACGGCCGCTGTGTGCATGAACGAGGAGCGGGACAGAAAGCGGCACCCCGGCGATATATATATCCCTCCTCCTGTCTTTCCGCTCGCCTGTGACACTGTGAGATGGAGAAGAAAGCCTCGAGTAAAATGGGGTGCAAGCATGTCTGCTCCACGAATTCCTGTTTTGCTATGGAATTTTTTAAAAGATGAACATACATTTTTTTGTCAGCTTTCACGATGTATGTCATCAGACTTACAGAGACCCCCCCCCTTCTTCTTCTCTTTACCTCTCCGCTTACCTTCTCGGTTTCCTTCCAGGAAGAAGTTCAGAGCATTTGTCAAACACGCAGAAAGTGGTGGGCAAGGATTAGATGGAGCTTTTGTTAAACTCAAGTTTAACAGGAGAATTTTGACACAGCTGCCTGGCCCCCGAGAGACATCCAGGTCTACATTAGAGTCAATGTGTAAACTCAAAGTTATATTTTTCGGACACAGCGATGGCCCAGACTAATAGTTAGTGCTCACAGTGCATGATGCTTGCTATGCCTCACCAAGGCCTGTTTGCAAACACTCAGGAATAGCTTCACATCTGCAGAAAAGTTACAGTGATAGTGATAATCGGAAAATAACTTTAGTTCTACAAAATGTGTCCTCTGTTTTTTTTCCCTCAACAACTTAAAGTCATTTAAGAGGATTTTTTAACACATTAATCTCAGGAAACATAAATCTACCACACAAATACTTAATGCTTTGGTTCATGAGCCTTTTTTTAAATATTTAATTTCATGCACCTTCACATCTGCTTCAAAAGCATCTTAATGCTGCTCAACTATAAAGGGGTTAAATGCATCTTAACCTCTCTGTAGACAGAGATGAAGGAGGGTCCAGGAGTCATCGGATTCATCCCACAATGTCGTCCCAAGTCCTGAGGAGAGCACTGGACCATGAGTCCGGTGGCCTGTCACGGGAAATGAATGAGACCGAGACAAAAAGAACAAATTCCCAGTTGAATGGGAACAATTTGGTCTTTTGTATTTCCAGCCTTCAATACATTCTGACATTGTGTTTTAAGGAACGGCATTAGATATAGAAGTAGAGGAGTTTTATTTCTCTATGTGTCACATGGATTGAAGATGAATGCATATTCTGGATGTGCAACTTCATAATATGGCAACAGTTACTAGAAGGATTTACGTTATATTTTTCTCTTTTTTTAATTGTTTTTCTTAGGTTGACCTATCACACTGAAAGCATAGCTTTGTGCACAGTACATGCTGCTGGTGCTCATTTTTAAAAGTATACTTAAGATTTAATTGAACCTTTTAAAGAGCCACTTTGATTTAAATCATTTGTCTTTTACATGCTACAAATTAATGGTTTATTGTTGGCCGGTAATCTTAGCTTTAATTTATGTGTTGGCGAGAAATGTCATGTGTATTTTTGGGCACAAAAAAAACAGTAAACACTCTTTCTCCTCTGACCAAAAATAAATATAATATTTTTACCAAGTGACAGCCAAGAAAACAATGCATCATATTTCTGCCTTTGTGTTTAAAGAGCAGCTCTGTGTGTACCAGATAATGTGCGGGTACTCATGGTCTGTGGAGGCCCATCAGTCACTGTGTGGAGCTGGTTGCTTGTGATAAGTGGTTCCTTATAGATAACCTAGACAGTAGGTTTCTTTTTATAGGCCCGCTGTCCCTCACGTAACCTTGTTTTTTTTATACCACCCAGGCTTATTTTCATCCTTTCCACTGATTTCACCTTCTTGTGTGGCTTTCAGATGTCTTTCTAGCCCCGGTCTTTGCCATCAAGTAATCTGAAAAAAAAAAGGACAAAAATAACTAGGAGAAATGTACTTCCTTAAAAAAATACAGGGGCACTCAGACAGCACATACCTCCGCCAACAGGATCTGCATCAAATTGCACACACTCATAAATATCAGTCCCCTACCATGCATGATTGTTTTCATCAAGATCCATTAATTATTCTCTGGGAAATCAATGAAACTGTGGAAAAATTATTTTGCCCTGACCATTCCACACCCTTCCACCAAATTTCATGGTGATCCCTCCAGTTTGCATAACTATCAGACAAACAAACAAACACAGACAAAAACGTAACGTCCTTGGTGCAGGTAAAGATAGACGAATGCAGAGTCCTAGTTTGTGGCCCTTAGTAACATTAGAACTTAGAGGTGAAAACTTCTATATGTAACCAAAAATATTTTTCTCTTGTTACTTCCTACAGTTATTCAAAAAATAGATTGAAAAACAAAATCATTGTGCTCAAACCTGTAAAAACAATAAGACCATTTATTGTCTGCATCTGTTTAACAAAAGATGACGCCAAAAGCGGCTATGCTGTTTTTAATTTGTGCCCATCATTCATTTTAGTTAGGACTTATTTTTACATTTTTCATTCGCCACATGACCTCATCCGTCTCCCAAAATAATGTTGATATATGGTTTGAATTGTTTGTTTCGGTATGTAAGACCTATATCTGATTGTACCTCATGGCAGTCATTTTGATTGATGTGCCGTTAAGTAACTGAATTAAAACACCAGATGAAAAGATATTTGTTTTTGTGAACTTTGCTTTATATTTCAGTATTAATTCACTTCAGTGCATTGTTGCCAGAAACACTGAATGAGATACAAGCACATCTGAGTCTTTTCTGTACTGGCCTGGCATTTGTTAAAGAGCTTCATCAGGACCCTCTTCCCCCATCTCTGTTCCCAGGCAGCCTCTCTCCCTCTCCCGTCTCTGGTTTGAGTTTCACGTCTCTCGGCGGTCTGATTGCCTGATAGCTTAAACATCTCTGCCTGCCTATCCCTTAGTGGGAGTGTGTAATCAAAGACACATGAGGAGCCTGTGTCCAAGTGCTGACCTTTTGATTTTGCTCATCAATTCTGGGAGTTAATGTACAAGATCTATCAGTTCAACAGATTTGTCTCCACATGCTCTGTCAGGTCTATAAATGATCAGGGGAAAAAATGCTTTTGGCCAACGCACCGTATTAAAACTTAATATGACTCCTAAGGTATTCTTCCCCCTCTCTTATGTTGTGCTAATAATAATGCAAATATTTTTTTTAGGTTGTGTGTCCACCATAAACCAAACCTTTGTAACAAGGGCTTAGAGAGTTAACAGGGTAATGATATGATCCAAATTCCAACTGTGTCCGCTGTCGATGTAACGTTTCATCATGGGCGGGAAGTTGAAACAGACGATACCCAATCCTTTTCCTTTGGACTGATGCAAGATAACAAAGGGCTACATTTCTGAACAAGTGAAATAAAAACTCTGCGCGGAGCTTCGGGCCTTGAGCCGCCCCCTTTTTGAACGGCAGCCACAGAGATGTCGCAGAGATGTATTCCTCATTTTGAGTGATATCTCTATCAGCTGGCATGTTCACGCCATGAATCTTCCGCCATGTTAAACCCGGAATCTGTCTCTCCGATGACGGCTGTGTGTTTTAAATGACCACTCTAATTTTTTGTAATGGGTGTCTGAGTGTCACCGGGTTATGAGTGAAAGGGCAGAACCGAGCTGTCTGGCGAAAGGCCTCTGATAGAAAGTGCCACTTCAATTTGAGCGCAGCTGCAGCTTAAGCCTGGGCTGGCTCACTGTCCGGCCCCCGACACTTCACATTCTCTTCCCCTGTGACTGGAATGGATGTGAAAACTATTACATTTACTCAGAGTTTTTGGCTTGACCATTTCCGATCCCCCTCACGTTATTCATTGCTTATCTTCAGCTTGGTTGTCAGGACCTCTCACTGAGAAAGACTCTCCCAGACACCATTTACATCTTGTTTATTTAAGTTCACTGATTTTTTGCAGCCGCTTTCTAAAAACTTTAAAAAACTTTAATTAAAATCCAAAACAATATTAAGAAGACTATAAACCCTTTGAAAAAAATACTATTTATGTATATTTTCTGTCTTTTACCATTACATTAAATCTTATTTTACATTCTCAATTACTTTTCTGTTGGTCAGACCACTGGACTACAGACTACACATCTTTTAATTTGGTGATGAGGGGGTTTAACAGTGTGAGAAACTCTAGCTGCCGACAGTCCTCAGCTCCCCCCTGAGTCTGTGCTATAGGATGGATCTTGTGGTTAGAGAGAAGACTCCTGGCTCTGTTTTAAATATTTGTTGTGGTTTGAATTAGAAAGGGGATAAATTCTCTGAATAATGATTGCAAAACA